ACGAACGGTGAGTTGAAGATGAATGCACTCTTCAAGAAAACAGCAAAATTGATGGCCCTTCCAAGGGGTCAGCTCCAAAATACTTGAAATTTGTTGTGAAGTTTCCATGATGAGACTCGTTTAGTATATAGAATTCCTTATCAATATGATTCCGATTGCAGTTTAGTTATTTACATGTGAGTGCATTTATAGTGTGCAGTTTTTTATCATTACGGTCCAGTGCGTATTTTATTTATGGAAATTAAGGATTCAATGTCCTCCGGTGTATAATCTTTTATGTATGTGTTTGTTTATATATGTTTTTCGTGCTCCTCTTAGCTCAAAAATCAGGGCAGACTGTGAACTTTTTGGGGCCCTAAGCAAACTCTCAAGATTGAGGCTCTCTCTATATTTTCGTTCACTGAAAAACTAAAGTTTGCTTGACTAAAATTACTAAAATTTGCTTACATAGTTTAGCAAAGTCTACTTTACTGTAAATATATATATAATATATATGTATGTATGTATATATAAAGCTATAATAGCAAAACAAATGATAGCACCAAAATTCAAAATGCTCTTGGTAAAACACTAATGATAGCACATTTTGGGGAAAGAATTATGCATTGAGCTCATTGAGCTCATGTGATTGGAACACTCTTCATTGCTCTATGGAGATGCAAACTGTGCTCTTTATTTTTATTATAGTTTCAGATGCTATCCTCTGATTGTATTTGGAGCAGGGGTCTTCCATGCAAACTAGAGGGTATTAGTCGAATCACCATGGTAAATGGATACCGTAACAAGTGTGAATTTTCAGTTGGATATTCTGTACAGGGAAAACCAACTGCGGGGTATGCTTGGGAACTTCAGGTAGTTATTGAATTTACCTTTGGGGATTCACTTCTTTACATTTTTCTCTTGTTTATCATAAAGAAGTAATTATTTATTTCAGGGAGGGGTGTGACAGCTGTTGAAGAACCTACGAACTGCCAAAATGTTTCCACATTGCACATTGCACTTTGATGATGAGTTAGTAAACAGTGAATTTGAGAGGATGGCTCAAGCATTTGCTGGGACCTTCTGCTGATTCTCCTTTGCCTCTAACATCATTGGTAGTTCAGGACAACTCTAAGACATGTACTAACTCTAAGTACATGTACTTGTTTGGGTCTGATATTTTAATTTCTTTATTAGATGGGCAGTTTGTACTCTATAATCTGTCTGTTACCAGGATTCATGAAAACCTGAGCTTTTAAAGACCCAGCATGCAATGGAAAATAAATGTACATGTATGGTGGAAACCATTATTCAATCAATTCTTTTTTTTTTTTTTTACATTCTAAGATTATATACTGTGTACTTCATAATATACTGCTTGGATTTCTTGGATTGAGTCACAGATGAAAATTTATACTATGTACTCAAAATATGTGAAGTGTGTATTTTGTTTCCATAGCCACATACTTCAGAATAGGATGGAGAATTCTTTGCATTTCTTGTTAATTGGTTACTTTATTGACATCATTTTCATATTTTCATTGTTACCACAAAGTGATAATCTGGTTGAACAACAGAATATAGTAGTGTGAATTGTAGCTTACATATTCTTCATGTAGAAAATGCTACATTGTGAAGCTTCTTATGATGTCAAATTCTAATCTCTTTGAAGCTTTTTAGACAAGAATCTGGTTGCGTTTTTTTGAGTGCTTTGATATAATAAATTTTTTCCCCCTAACATGTTCTACTGTCACTTCTATTTTTAAATTTTAAGTCATTTTTGATTTTTCTCAATTTGCACGTTTCACTTTCTCTCCCCTAATTTGGTGTTAATGACTATAATTGATATGACTTAAATTTTCTTTTTTCAGGGCAGGTGTATAAGTTGAGGAGTCCTAGTGCAAAATACTGGCCTCCTTGTCAACTTATGATGGCCTCAAACCAACTAAAGATTGGGCTTCCCAGAATTGTCAATTGATGGGAAAATCCAAGCCCCACCCGGATCGGGTGGAAACTGTGAAGTGAAGATGATAAAGGTGCCCCTGTTCACAAGGATTTGCCTTCATTGCCAGGTCAAACTCTGTGCATCTAATAATGTAAAGTTCTGCAGCATAGAAGCTTGGCAAGCTGAAACTGTACCTCTTGTGCATAGTCTTATTTATCCAGGCATATGAAACAGTAATATTAGAGAAAAATATAGGAGAGAATTATAGGTCTAAGCTGCTTTACACATGATATAGCACTGCATCGATCAAATTTGTTTTGCATCAAAAATCTTGCTTTAAGTTTTTGTTATCAAATCTGATTTTAGCAAAATTATATGGGCATCAAAATTATATGAGTCTTTCATATTGGTTTGGAATTGTTTTGCTTCTGCTACTATAAATCATGGTGTAGTCATTTGTAAAAGCACACAATTTCTGCTCCAATCTGGTAGGTTGTAGTTTTTGTACCTCCTGTATATCAAAAATGGAAATAATACATCACCTTCACAACACCATACATGTTATTGATAATGTGTTAACCAAAATAATCATGAAAAAAGTATCTCCAGTCTCATAAACCAAACTTGAGGCAATCATCCTAAATTATTATTCATCTTAAATTATTATTGAACAGCAGTTGTTGCTCCAAGAAAAAAAACTGCGCCCTAAATCATAAACAACTAAATGTGGAAAACCATAAATTTTTGTAAGAGAGAGCCAGGATAAAATTTTTGTAAGAGCATGTGGATTAAAGAACTAGAGTCCAAAGATGATGTCGGAAGTACGTGTTCATTTGTGTGCATGCTTATTTAAAGAAGTAATACTAAAAATATTTTTTGTTTGGTATTTGAAGAAATAAAGAAGAAAGATGAAATAACAAGAAAGATATCACTTGAATATCACTTGAATTACAAATTTTGATATCACTTGATATAATCACTTGATATAATTAGTTACAAAAAAATTTGATATCACTGTTGCCCTTGATATCACTTGATATAATTACAAATTTTTAAAATTTAAGATGATTAGTTATTATAAAATTTAATCCACAAATTATATCATCAAAATAATTACCATGTATTTTAATCTTAATATTATTTACGTTGTGCTTTAGGCACGGGCATACGCTAGTATATATATATATATATATATTATCATTTTAACTATACAAAACAAGAGTGAGGTTGGGTTTGGTGTCCATATTGCCAGTGAAGTCAAAAAGGAGACAAAACTACAAGCTGAGAGTTAGCTATCATTTACATCATTATCAGTCCCAATGTGACGTAAATCCAAATACACTTGGTTTCAATTACAAAATTTCTCTGAAGCTTGTTCAATGCTTTTAATGTGATTCTGTCTTACCTTAGGAAGCAAACTGCAAATGCTAAATTGTTTGCCTTCTAAATAGAATATTTCTGGCCTTTACTATGTTCATCATTACCAGCTTGAATATTATGGGAGTGCAAATGTCGCTTGTTCTCATATGTTAGTTATTTTTTTCTTTTAACCCACCTATATATAAATCTCCATTTTTATTTATGATTTTTGTGGGTTGTTGTTGTTGTAATGCTCTTCGTTCATTAAACCCCTCAAACTGGGGCAAGTTGACTTTATTAGACTAATTTAGTGGATGTTGAACCTGTTTACTATTTTTATGCATAGAGATAGGCTTTGTTAATTTCATTATCCTCTGCTGCAATCTAGGCTTTCAGAACAAAGGAGAAAGAAACTCCAAGCAAAGGAGGCTGAATTGAGGAGGAGGGAGCAGGTACTTGTTTATACTAATTAAAATTGTAGCTTCCAAATATGTTTTACCTAGAATTGAATGGCTATTTTTTTAATTTTATTTTCATGGACACTTGGTATTAATCTTATTAGTTTTTCATTTTATTTATATTATGCAGGATGTTTACATGTACTTCCGTGGCAGTGGCAAAGCAGCAGAGATGAAGCGTGAGGCTGCAAAATGGACAATGATGGCCATCATTTTGAGCCCGGAGCCTAACCCGAGATCCTGGGCTTGGGTCAGGGCCATCATTTTGAAACCCGGCCCGATCCATCGGCCTACTTAAGGCTTACTCAAGCCAGGCCCGCCCAACCTGCCCAAGGCCCAGTGTCTTTCTTAGTAGAAAATAACAAAATTTATGTTGTGGTACATATGTCCTTTTTGGAAATTAATTTGGTTAGTCTTGTATTATGTATGAAATGAAATTATTGACGTTGGATTAGACTTGGTTCGTATGGAATTTGTATTATATATAGAATTGGAC